ATAAGGAGCCCTGGTGGTGCAGTGGTTAAGCACTCACCTGATAACTGAAAGGTCGGTGGCTCGAACCCATCAGCCGCTCCTTGAGAGAAAGATGTGGCAGTCTGCTTTCATAAAGATTTATAGCCTTGGAAATCCTATGGGGCGGTTCTACTCGTCCTTTAGGGTCTCTATGAGTTGGAATCGACTCAGAGGCAGTGGGTTTGGTTTTTTGGACTTTTTGGAATCTCAATGCTGAAAAACAGTACAATTACACCAAGTAGGGGTGAGAGATTTAACCACAAGTTGTGTTTGAATTGGGTTCCATTTAGTTTTGAGGTGAAAAGACAGTCCTGCCTCCGACACAGGCTTTGTGGGTTATTTCATAAACGCTATCCTGCAAAGCCCTATGAGGTTCCTCTATGTGATTAAAGTCATCAAGAAGTTTTGTGATTGAAAACTCTCCTCTGCCTGGGATTTATTTAGATACTCCTCTGACACACTCTCGCGAACTCTCTAGCTCCGGTGGGAACTGTACGAGGAAAATTCCTCCGAACCAAGCTAATATGACAACCAGAGAAGAGCCATCTGGCAAGTGGTTTGTAAAACACTTTCCTTGTATTTGTTAAATTCTGTTTCCTTGTAAGTCACTTAACAGGAGGCCTAGCACACACAGTTAAACTGATTCTAAAAGTCCCCCAAAGCTATCTTTGTGGGTATCCGGGGCAGGAAGATATTTAAAGACTTCCAAGTATAAAATGTAGACTTAAGGAAGATTTAAATTCCTCAGTGCTAAGAAAGAGACTTAATAATGGCATTATGAAAGAGATCCAGGCATTACAAAACAGGCTCAGAGGCTTCTAGAACCTCCAATGACTGACAAAACAAACCCAGCCTCTGGTAGATGAAGTGCCAGGCTCTGCTTCCTTGGAGTTCACAAAAGGTTCTGAGAAGGCCACACACACGCACCACTTCCCCCAGCCCTGGAAGGGGAGAGCGAGCATTCTATGATGGCTGTACCTGCAGCACACCATTCCACCCAGGAAAACAAACAAAAAACCCGTTGTCAACGCTACAGGACAGACTAGAACTGCCCCATGGGGTTTCCAAGGAG